AATAGCTGCAGATCGTGAGAGCAGTCGTGTAAAAACAGCTATTGTTTGCTTGTGAAAAGGGAGAATGACACAGGAGTGCTGTCCTACAAAGAGCACTTACCAGTGACCGAGATCTTGGTAGGAGACACAAACCGAAGTGGGTCTGAAGCCATTTACAGAGTGGGATCTCTGCACTGCTACGGGGACAGTAAGTAAGCATGCATATCTCATTTTAGCATACTTTAGAAACTTTTTAAACTGCAGATATGCAACTGAATTGTAACACGATGGACAGGAATTTGTATTGTTATTTTAATTGTGATAAAACTCTGAAAGGTAATAACTAACTAACTAATTAACTAAATAAATAAATAATCTCTTTTTTTCTGAACCATACTTTTGTAATTAACATATTAAAAACTTTTGGGTACCTCCTACTTTTTAGTTGTATTTTAAGAAATTTAGTATCTGCTGTTAGTTCACTAACATAATACATATAATACATATACATTTTTTATATAATGATAATAATAATGTAAAAAAATAAGCAATAAAAAAATAAAAAAAAATGTGAGAATATACTTAGACTTTATACTTCAAATATGTGGTTTGTTAATAAAAGTAATGTCTATTTGAAAATCTGCTTCGTCGTTTTCGGAGATGTGAGCTCCAGGGCTTCAGCGGCCATTTGGCGCTTATGAACCCGCCGAGAGCAGCCTCACCTCGGCCAGAGAGCTCCAGGCCTTCAGCGGCCGTTTGGCCCTTAAGAACCCGCCGAGAGCAGCCTCACCTCGGCCAGATCTTCTGGAATTTACCACTGGCTCTGATGTCTCTATAGTGGTTAAACATAAGATATAATTTGTTTTGGGTAAATCTAATGGGCAGTCTTATTATATATTTGTTCCAGAGCAAATAGTTTTGTCTGAGAGTAAAATCTCATCACGTTATGTTTTATGTAACTTTAATGCTGTATATCAGAGCGCTGCCTTTGTACTTTTGACTGAATTGCCTAGCAATTTTTATGATGGCTGTTGTTGTTGTTTATTAAGCAAGGGATCATGCATGGCTAGCTGTGAATTAAACGATTTTAATGCACGACGTGTAGGCCAAGAACTACCCAACGCGAAGCGGAATTTATTACATTTACATTTATGAGTCTGACAGACGCTTTTATCCAAAATGAGTTGTATTGCAAGCTATGATTGCTTATCCTGGGAATCAAATTCATGATCTTCTCTTTGTCAGCACCGTCTTCTACTGTTTGAGCGACAGTTGTTGCTGTCAGTTTATTAAATGAATCAACCTTTTTTTAATTGTACATTTTTGTAGTTAGTGTATTGACACATTAGTCATATTAATCCCATGTTTTAATGCATTAATTTTAACAACCTTAAAAATTGGTTATATCTAGAACTTGCAGTCAGAGCTTGTCTTCGCTTACACAGTCTATCACACCTTAGCTATAAAAGAGTGATATAGTTTAGCTAAATTTCTGACAAGACTCCTTAAATTCCAGGTCATAATTAAGTCTTAACATAAGAATATTTTAATAAAACCATAATCTGTCTCCTTTTACCTCAGGGTTTTTGTGGAACGCCGCTTCCTTCTACCAGGAGTCGTCTTACCTGCACTTCCCAATGCTTCAGGCCGAGCTCAGTGTCGACATCTCACTCTATTTCAAAACCACGGCTCCCTCCGGAGTCTTCCTGGAAAATCTGGGCACAAAAGACTTCATTAGAGTGGAGCTCAGCGGTGAGTCCCTTATATTGTTAGCGAGACTTTCAAAAAAAGAGAATTAACAAAATTTTCAAATGAGGATGGGTTAATTAAATGTTTTTTGTTACTATTATGTACACAAATGTCAAAATAAAATGGTTAAAGCCTCTCATATTCATGCAGTGTCATTAGTATTTGCAGCAAAGAGGAGAGGGCGCAGCCAGTTTGAGTGTAAAGAGCCGTTTTAGTGAACTGTGCCGTTGAAACCATCAGCTGTGTAATTACTGTACACAGTACACTGAGGCTATTCATCTTCATCATACTGCCTGCCATCATCTATTTTATATATTTTCCCCCAAGTATAAGGACTATTTTTTCACTAAAAATTGCCAGAATATATCACCAAGGTAGTATATATATATATATATAATATATTTTTTATGTATTTAAAATTTATATACTGTTTTTTAAATGTATGTAAAATTTTGTAATATTATATGTAATGTCTATTATTATTTTTCATTTATATTTTTTTAATAATTCATTCACCAATAAATATACCATCAAAGGGCTGAATCAAAGGGCTTAAAAATGTAAGTGTAATACATTGTTTTAATTATTTTAAATTAAATTAAACAATATAATTTGTAATTAATTCTAAAATATAAAAAAATATAAAGTGCTGAATAATAATAAATATTGAATATAATATAAAAATGTTTTATATACATTTTAAATATATTATTGAAAAAAGTTGTATTTGTAACTTTTAAAAAATATAACTATTAAATAATGTATATAACTAATAAATGATAAATATATTTAAAACATAATGCATTTTACATTTATATAAACATTTTAATATTATTTGCATTTTTTTTTCAGCACTTTGATGGTACTTTAATATCTTGATATTTATGTATTATTGTTTTAGAACCATACTTCTAACCAAACAACTAAATAGATTATTTTAATATAAGAGCTAAAAAAAAAAAATTTTTACCTACATACTTTTAATAAAGAATCTAAATATTTGAGACAAGTCATTAAATTGGACAGTTGAACTGATTTACAATAACTAAAGTGTAGCGTAATTTCTGCTACTTAAGATTAAATATGAAATTTAAATATGAATATCAAATCACCCAACCCTACAATTACATCCACAAATTCCTGTTGCTTATGAAGTGATTGGTGTTTTCTTCTCATTCCTGCAGCGCCCTCTATCATGACCTTCATGTTTGATGTGGGTAACGGCCCGGTGGTTCTGACGGTGAAGTCTCACGTACCGCTGAATGACAAGCAGTGGCATTACGTTCGAGCGGAAAGGAATGTGAAGGAGGCGTCGCTGCAGGTGGACCAGCTGCCCTTGCGCTTCCTGGAGGCTCCGTCTGAAGGCCACACCCACCTTCAGCTCAACAGCCAGCTGTTCATTGGTAGGCAGCGCCTTGAGTGACAGCTCTGTGCCAGCGGGGCGCAAAAGAATAATATCCCTGTACCTCCACACAGATGCTGCTAATAGAGTTTACATGCTAATTATTTCCATATTAATTCTTAATTTGTTCCCCTTTGTTTTTGCTATATTATTTTTTGCTGACTGTACCAGCACTAACAAGGCTTTCTATTTTTTGCACTTAATTTAGTTTTACTCACACTAACAAAGCTTCCTGCCTTATTTGCAATTAATTTAGTTGCACTAGCTCTAACAAAACTTTAAATTTTTTGCATTTAATTTTATTTTACTGACGCTAACAAATCTTCCTGTCTTATTTGCACTTGATTTTGTTTTACTAGCGCTAACAAAGCTTGTTTTGATTACACTTAATTTTGTTGTACCAGCGCTAACAAACCTCTGTGTTTTTTGCAATTCATTTTGTTGCACTACCTTTAACAAAACTTTAAACTTTTTGTGCTTAATTATGTTGTACAAGCTCAAACAAAGCTTTGTCTTAATTACTCTTAATTTTGTTGTACTAGTGCTAATAACACTTTCATTTTTGCACTTAATTTTATTTTACTGACGCTAACAAATCTTCCTGTCTTATTTGCACTTGATTTTGTTTTACTAGCGCTAACAAAGCTTGTTTTGATTACACTTAATTTTGTTGTACCAGCGCTAACAAACCTCTGTGTTTTTTGCAATTCATTTTGTTGCACTACCTTTAACAAAACTTTAAACTTTTTGTGCTTAATTATGTTGTACAAGCTCAAACAAAGCTTTGTCTTAATTACTCTTAATTTTGTTGTACTAGTGCTAAAAAAGCTTTAATTTTTTGCACTTGATTTTGTTTTACTAGCGCTAACAAAGCTTGTTTTGATTACACTTAATTTTGTTGTACCAGCGCTAACAAACCTCTGTGTTTTTTGCAATTCATTTTGTTGCACTACCTTTAACAAAACTTTAAACTTTTTGTGCTTAATTATGTTGTACAAGCTCAAACAAAGCTTTGTCTTAATTACTCTTAATTTTGTTGTACTAGTGCTAAAAAAGCTTTAATTTTTTGCACTTGATTTTGTTTTACTAGCGCTAACAAAGCTTGTTTTGATTACACTTAATTTTGTTGTACCAGCGCTAACAAACCTCTGTGTTTTTTGCAATTCATTTTGTTGCACTACCTTTAACAAAACTTTAAACTTTTTGTGCTTAATTATGTTGTACAAGCTCAAACAAAGCTTTGTCTTAATTACTCTTAATTTTGTTGTACTAGTGCTAAAAAAGCTTTAATTTTTTGCACTTGATTTTGTTTTACTAGCGCTAACAAAGCTTGTTTTGATTACACTTAATTGTGTTGTACTCGCGCTAACAAAGCTTTGTCTTTTTTGCAATTAATTTAGTTGCACTAGCTCTAACAAAACTTTACATTTTTTGCGCCTGATTTTGTTTTACTAGCACTAACAAAGCTTGTTTTGATTACACTTAATTTTGTTGTACTAGCGCTAACAAAGCTTTGTCTTTTTTGCACTAAATTTTGTTGTACTAGCGTTAACAAAGCTTTGTCTTTTTTGCGCTTAATTTTGTTGTAGTAGCTCTAACAAAACTTTACATTTTTTGCGCTTGATTTTGTTTTACTAGCGCTAACAAAGCTTGTTTTGATTACACTTAATTTTGTTGTACTAGCGCTAACAAAGCTTTGTCTTTTTTGCACTAAATTTTGTTGTACTAGCGTTAACAAAGCTTTGTCTTTTTTGCGCTTAATTTTGTTGTAGTAGCTCTAACAAAACTTAAAATTTTTTGCGCTTCATTTTGTTGTACTAGCGTTAACAAAGCTTTGTCTTTTTTGCGCTTAATTTTGTTGTAGTAGCTCTAACAAAACTTTACATTTTTTGCGCTTAATTTTGTTGTACTAGCATTAACAAAGCTTTGTCTCTTTTGCGCTTAATTTTGATGTAGTAGCGTTAACAAAGCTTTGTCTTTTTTGCGCTTAATTTTGTTGTAGTAGCATTAACAAAGCTTTGTCTTTTTTGCGCTTAATTTTGTTGTAGTAGCTCTAACAAAACTTTAAATTTTTTGCGCCTGATTTTGTTTTACTAGCACTAACAAAGCTTGTTTTGATTACACTTAATTTTGTTGTAGTAGCATTAACAAAGCTTTGTCTTTTTTGCGCTTAATTTTGTTGTAGTAGCTCTAACAAAACTTTAAATTTTTTGCGCCTGATTTTGTTTTACTAGCACTAACAAAGCTTGTTTTGATTACACTTAATTTTGTTGTACTAGCGCTAACAAAGCTTTGTCTTTTTTGCAATTAATTTTGTTGCACTAGCTCTAACAAAACTTTACATTTTTTGCGCTTGATTTTGTTTTACTAGCGCTAACAAAGCTTGTTTTGATTACACTTAATTTTGTTGTACTAGCGCTAACAAAGCTTTGTCTTTTTTGCAATTAATTTTGTTGCACTAGCTCTAACAAAACTTTACATTTTTTGCGCTTAATTTTGTTGTACTAGCATTAACAAAGCTTTGTCTTTTTTGCGCTTAATTTTGTTGTAGTAGCTCTAACAAAACTTTACATTTTTTGCGCTTAATTTTGTTGTACTAGCATTAACAAAGCTTTGTCTTTTTTGCGCTTAATTTTGTTGTAGTAGCTCTAACAAAACTTAAAATTTTTTGCGCTTCATTTTGTTGTACTAGCGTTAACAAAGCTTTGTCTTTTTTGCGCTTAATTTTGTTGTAGTAGCTCTAACAAAACTTAAAATTTTTTGCGCTTCATTTTGTTGTACTAGCGTTAACAAAGCTTTGTCTTTTTTGCGCTTAATTTTGTTGTAGTAGCTCTAACAAAACTTTACATTTTTTGCGCTTAATTTTGTTGTACTAGCATTAACAAAGCTTTGTCTTTTTTGCGCTTAATTTTGTTGTAGTAGCGTTAACAAAGCTTTGTCTTTTTTGCGCTTAATTTTGTTGTAGTAGCGCTAACAATGCTTGTTTTGTTTACACTTAATTTTGTTGTGCTAGCGCCAATAAAACTTTTTTCCACTTAATTTTGTTGTGCTACCACTAACGAATATTCTGTCCTAAATGCACTTAATTCTGTTGTACTAGCGCTAACAAAGCTTTCCATTTTTGTTGTTAATTTTGATGTACTAACGCTAAGATAGCTTCCTTTTTAAAAATTACTGCTTTTTGTCTGTGCAGGAGGCACAGCATCGAGGCAGAGAGGATTTCTAGGGTGCATCAGGTCATTAAGCATCAATGGGATGACACTTGACCTTGAGGAGCGGGCTAAAATGACACCTGGGGTCAGTTCGGGGTGCCCGGGTCACTGCAGCAGCCAAAACAGCTTGTGTCACAACAGGGGGAAATGTATCGAGAAGAGCAGTGGCTACGTTTGTGACTGCACACACTCAGCCTATGGAGGACCCAACTGCAAGAAAGGTTTGTCATTATTGCTGATAAATCTTTTGCGCTAATATTGAGTTTGTTTGTACGCTTGGTTTCTGAACCACCACCACGATGTCGTAAAATACCAGCGGGAAGGATTTATTTTAAGCACCGACTTTACAAGTTGAGGGTGTGTTAATGAAAGAATCTTGTTTGAAGCAAATTGCTTATGATCATAGTTTTTACTGTGACTGTTGATTGTGCTATTAAGGTTTAATGTAACATATTCTGATGAAGAATAATGCTTGATTTTTGCCAGTTTATGAGACCACAGGCTTGTTTCTCAAAGCGTTTCCCAGAAATTCTATGTGGTGGCACAAAAATAATATGTAAATAAAAATCATTTGTGCTTAATTTTATTGTACTAGTGCTAACAGGTTTTTCAACAGCCAATTACAATATCTTGAAAGCAGGTTGCCCAATGGTCAACATTATACCAATATATACACAATAAAATGTCTAATTACATCTTAAAGAGTCGAGATATTCATAACTAAAGTAAGGTGCTAACTGGCCAAATATTGACCAGCATATCTGTCTGTGGCTATTTATGACAGAAGGTTTTAGATTTTCTTGCAGTTCAAGGGTGCAAATCATCATCAAAAACAGTTTGTTTCAACTTTGTTATCCTCCTAACTCCTCTACGGTATATCAAAGAGCTTTCCAGAAGGAGGACGCTTAAGAGCTCGATAACCTTGATTTCTGAAGACGGCGTTGTGCCCGCAGATTGCACTTGATCAAAGCTGAGCAGGATAAAACATGAGATATTCAGTGCAGTTCTGCTATTCTCTGTCTGTCTCGCTGTCTCGGTATGGCTTGAGTCCATGACCATGAACTCCAGTTGTTTGGATGAATTTCGCTCAAAGGGTTGCAACCTGACCAATCCCAGCGGACCCTCCCTGCCCATCACGCTCAATGCTAAACCTCTCTGTCGTCAATACAGCCTTTATCACATTTGATCCCCTGATATGCCAGACAGCTAAGCCATTCAACGCTCTGTGTATGAGACTGCGTTCTTGGCTTTGCGTTTTCTTTATTGGACTCTAGAGGGAATTGTGTTTCTATTCAGATAATATTATGAGTAAATGAACACCATGAGATGCCCAGGGGTCGGTTTCAGTCCAAGCATAATTTTGCATTAATTTAAAGTTTAAATGATTAATTTCCTCTGCATTTTCCACTCTGTCCATTCAGCATTGTGTGCTTGGTGTTCGACAGCACATTAATATGCTGATAGGGAAACAAAAACACGGCCAATCAGTATCTATGATCTGCCCACAAGCGTTTGCACCAACATTTACATGCTTTTGTGTTTTCTTCCTTTCTAGAAGTTTCCTTGTCCTTTGAAAGCGGGTCTTCGGTGACCTACACCTTCCAGGAACCATTTTCTGTGATGCGCAACCACAGCCGTCAGTCCTCAGCTATCTTCGCCCAAAGCAGCAATTCACGAGAGAGCATCGCCTTCAGTTTCCTCACAACTCAAACGCCTGCCATGCTTCTGACAGTCAACACCTATCATCAGCAGTACATGGCCATTATTCTGGCTCACAACGGTACTAACTGTTTCTTTCTTTCTTTCTATTTTTACTGTAATATGGGTGAATCTCACAAACATGTCAGGAACATGTTCAGGTCATACTGTATTTAATCCCAAAATAATAATAAAAAAAAAAAATGAAGTTAATTTTTCACTTCTCACTATTGTATAAAAAAGTGACATTGTTAGTGCACAAAAATCCCTCATTATTTTCATGTATGTTATATAGTATAATGTAAATTATAAAGTCTTTATGCATAATAGTAGTGTTCGTTGTTACATTTAGGCTAGCTGAAATTGAAATATTTAATATACAATAATAAAACATTATAAATTATATTTAGATTTTTAAAAATAAATGTAATGTTTTGCTTATGGGGGCAGTCTTGGCCTAATGGTTAGCGAGTCGGACTTGTAACCCGAAGGTTGCAGGTTCAAGTGTCAGGTCCAGCAGGGATTGTAGGTGGGGGGAGTGAATGACCAGCGCTCTCTTCCACCCTCAATACCACTGAGGTGAGACCCTTGAGCAAGACACCGAACCCCCAACTGCTCCCCGGGGGCCGCAGCGATATGGCTGCCCACTGCTCCGGGTGTGAGTTCACGGTGTGTGTGTGTGTGTGTGTGTGTGTGTGTGTGTGTGTGTTCACTACTGTGTGTGCACTAGGATGGGTTAAATTCAGAGCACAAATTAACAAATGGTGACAAGTGGGTCACCATACTTGGCCACACGTCACTTCACTCAATTATTGTGCAAAAAAATTATTAATGCAAAAAACTCATTCTCATTACTGTCATATGGAAGCCCGTTTCCCCCACTGAATAAAAAATAAAACAAGGTAATTGTGACTTTTTATCTCACAATTCTGACTTTTTTTCTCAGAACTGCGAGTTCATATCTTGCAATTCTGACTTTATAACACACAATTGCGAGTTATAAAGTCAAAATTGCGAGTTATAGAGTCAGAATTGCGAGATATAAACTTGCAATTGCGAGTTATAAAGTATAAAATATAAACTCGCAAATCTGAATATTTTTCTCGGAATTGTGAGTTTATATCTCGCAATTCTGACTTTATAACTCGCAATTCTGAGAAATAAAGTCAGAATTGTGAGATATAGAGTCGCAATTCTGAGTTTTTTTCTCGCAATTGCGAGTTTATATCTCGCAATTCTGACTTTCTTTTTCTCTCACAATTGCGAGTTCATATCTCGCAATTACGACATTTTTTCTCAGAATTGTGAGTTATAAAGTCAGAATTGCAAGATATAAACTCGCAATTCCGAGAAATTGCGAGTTTATATCACACAATTCTGAGGAAAAAAAGTCGCAATTACCTTGTTTTATTTTTTATTTAGTGGCGGAAACAGGCTTCCATACTTTCATGCATATTGTATAGTATAATGTTAATTATATAGTTTGCATGCATCATAGTAGCGTTTTTTTGTACTGCTTTCAATTAATTCTAATTAAAATTGAAGTATAATATATTTTATATATATGAAAATTAGAACCACTTTGAGATTTTAAAGGAATATTATGGTAATGATAATGGCTGCCCACTGCTCCGGGTGTGAGTTCACGGTGTGTGTGTGTGTGTGTGTGTGTGTGTGTGTGTGTGTGTTCACTACTGTGTGTGCACTAGGATGGGTTAAATTCAGAGCACAAATTAACAAATGGTGACAAGTGGGTCACCATACTTGGCCACACGTCACTTCACTCAATTATTGTGCAAAAAAATTATTAATGCAAAAAACTCATTCTCATTACTGTCATATGGAAGCCCGTTTCCCCCACTGAATAAAAAATAAAACAAGGTAATTGTGACTTTTTATCTCACAATTCTGACTTTTTTTCTCAGAACTGCGAGTTCATATCTTGCAATTCTGACTTTATAACACACAATTGCGAGTTATAAAGTCAAAATTGCGAGTTATAGAGTCAGAATTGCGAGATATAAACTTGCAATTGCGAGTTATAAAGTATAAAATATAAACTCGCAAATCTGAATATTTTTCTCGGAATTGTGAGTTTATATCTCGCAATTCTGACTTTATAACTCGCAATTCTGAGAAATAAAGTCAGAATTGTGAGATATAGAGTCGCAATTCTGAGTTTTTTTCTCGCAATTGCGAGTTTATATCTCGCAATTCTGACTTTCTTTTTCTCTCACAATTGCGAGTTCATATCTCGCAATTACGACATTTTTTCTCAGAATTGTGAGTTATAAAGTCAGAATTGCAAGATATAAACTCGCAATTCCGAGAAATTGCGAGTTTATATCACACAATTCTGAGGAAAAAAAGTCGCAATTACCTTGTTTTATTTTTTATTTAGTGGCGGAAACAGGCTTCCATACTTTCATGCATATTGTATAGTATAATGTTAATTATATAGTTTGCATGCATCATAGTAGCGTTTTTTTGTACTGCTTTCAATTAATTCTAATTAAAATTGAAGTATAATATATTTTATATATATGAAAATTAGAACCACTTTGAGATTTTAAAGGAATATTATGGTAATGATAATGCAAAAAAAAATGTAATATGTATTGGCTAAATGTAGTTCATATAAAGTCTAGAAATCTATATTATCAGAGTATAATAACAATGTTCTATTGACGACTTTGTCTTGTTACAGCATGTGGCAAAGCACAGTTTTGTATTGGCCAATCAGAGCTGTTTTTTTGATTACCTTCAAACTGTTAGTAGATGATTACTACAATGATGGTGATGGTAATGATTGAAGAGGAGCATCCATTTCTGTGTTTCTCATATTTCAAAACAGTGGTCAAGCTAGCAATTACCCTCATCAGTGGGGAAGGAAATGAGCCATCCAATGTGCTGTGCTGACTTGATTCTGTCTCACTTATGTCTCAAATTGCCTGCCTTTCTTGCATCTCTTTGGCGTCCCACAGGGAGTTTGCAGATTTGGTATCGGCTGAGCAGAGAGAAAGAGCCTGACATCTTTACACCAACGTCTCTTAATTTGGCCAATGGAGAGCTCCACAGAGTCCAGATACATAGAGAGGGAAGGGACATGTACGTCCAGGTGAGTTGTGTTTATGTTACAAAGTGATTTTTTTTTGGTACATTTTGTAGCAGCTACTAACCAGTTATGACAGCTACTGCACAGTTATATGTTAACCGTGTTATTATAAATCATTGGTCTTTATTCATGAAACGAGCTGAACAAATACCTTTCTTAATTTATTGAACCTAACCAAGACAATGTACATAAAAATAGTTTTACAAACTATTTTAAAGATAGATGTTGCAGTCATGCAACAATTTACATACGAATATGAACAAATTGCACTGAAATTCAGTAGAAGATGTGTGTCGCAATCACGCAACAATTTATGTACAAATTGTTTTACAAACGAATTAGACAAAAATGTAAGATGTGAGTTGCATTCATGCAACAATTTATGTACGAATTGTTTTATGAATAAATTACAATGAAATTCAATTAAAGATGTTGGTAACATTCATGCAACAATTTATATATGAATTGTTTTACAACCAAATTAGGCATAAAATATAATATATAATAAATAAATATAATAGATAAATACGATTCTATGAACAATTTATACAGACATTTAATCAAAGGTGCAAGTCGTATTTTGCGACACTACATAGTTTTTATGACCATTTTGCACATATATTTAATGTCTAGGTCATTTTTGTTACAAATTATGTAAAATTGTTTTTATCAATAATTTGCATTACTTTGAATATATGTGTTGCACTTTACATAAGAATAGTTTAAACAAAAACACATTCTTGTTACAATTTACATATGAATGTTTTGCTAAATAAATGTAAAAAAAATCATTATAATTTATGCTTAAATTTCATAAGAATGCTTTTACTAACAATTCACAAAGGAGTTGAGTTCCACTCATGTTTTGTGAGTTAGTCCCAATGCTTCTGAGGGAAAGTTATAGCATCATTAATCGTATTCCTCTCAATTGATTTAGATCAGATTTGTTTTCAATCTGAGTTAAATAAAGTGCCCTGATGTGCATGGCTGATGATACATATCAGTTTTGTACCCCGGTAGCACAGACTTTATGAGCAGTGCTTAAACTCAAGGATGTCATCAGTATTCTTCACACAGTCTTGCAGATTAACACGTGGAGGCTTTTGTCTCATACCAATAAAATATTTGTAGAATCTTAGGAAAGTCACGTCACATCTCTCTCTTGTTCTCTCTGTATCCTTCTCCTTCTTAGATTGATAAAGATATCAATCTGAAATACAGCCTGTCCACGGACAAAGAGTTGATCACGATAAGGTCTTTGACATTGGGGAAAGTCACAGGTAGGCGGTTTAATTAAACTCCAAGATTAAAGCTGTGGGTATGCGAGCTTGTGCTTTACTGACTAATTCACCACACCAAGTCACATTGAGATAGACTGATGGGCAAGACTCCTTCATTTAGCACTACATACACTGGTTTAGTTTAGTTTAGCACTAGTTGTTGGGACAAATAAGAACCTACTGAGGTACGGTCTTCTTGCCTCTCTCAGGTCGAGCTGGTGTAGATGAGGAGGTTCTCCAGGCCGGATCAAGAGGCTTCATAGGCTGTCTGTCTTCAGTTCAGTTTAACCATTTGGCTCCTATCAAGGCAGCCATATTGAATCGAGGTAGCTCGTTGGTCAATGTTCTCGGTAACCTGGTAGAGTCAAATTGCGGAGAACTGGCTGATAAGTCTTCATCCAGATCTTTGTCAGGTTGGTAAAAGTGCCATTATGTTTTCAAGAAATGGCCAAATGAATGGAATCACTTGACAAACAACAAACTTTATTCACAGACCATGCAGACACAGGAAGTAGAGGGAAGAAACTTACGAATGCTGCCCAAAGTGACTCCGCTGTAATTGGAGGTAGGTGCCGCTTTCCTGCTTCATTTTTTAAGGCAAACGTGCTGTAAAATCAAACCTTTTATGAAGATTCACACTGTCAACTTTTGGTAAGGTATTTTGAAGGTGCGAAAGACGTCACAGGCAACAAAGGTCCATCGTCAATCGTCAATAGTGTAGCTACAAAGCTTAACTCATGAGTTACTTTCAAACCAAGCAGCTTTTTGTTGGTCAACATGGAAAATCCTTGTGTCCAACTTGAACTCGTTGCAAAATCTGCGTGGGAAGATCTTTCACCCTTACGCGAAACTCCTAATTGTGTGGATTCCTACTGAAATTACTGCATTTTGCCTGTGAAAATTCGCCAAACAGTGTTAAATGTGACTCCACCTCTGACCATCGTAGATAGAGAGCGGTTGTTTATGAAGCATTGCTCATAAGTCGCTTTTAAACCAAGCAGCTTTCTGCTGGTCAACGCGGCAAATCTTTGTGACCAACTTGAACCAGTTGCGGAAACCGCATGAGAAAATATGTTGCCCTTGTGCATTGGCACAAGTGCCACTCACTTATTCTGTCTCTCGTAGGTTTGATAGCAGCAGTGGTGCTCATTACCCTCTGTGCCGTGGCCGTGATGACCCGCTTCCTGTACCGCCATCGAAACGAGCGTACCCGGCAGATGGCCTCCGTCAAGGAGAAAGATCACCAGCCCAGGCCAGAACTCAGATACCGGGCCGAGTTGGACCTACACAGTGCCATGAGAGACAGTAGGAAAGAATACTTCATCTGACCTGTGGCGTACGAACCTCGTGACCCCCACTGAGTCGCTACGACCCTATGTTTGGCGCCAACTCAGTGGACAGGGATTGGGGACAGGATGTCAGCTGAGCCTTGTGGACACAGCCAGTGCCCTTCACCTTCCAACCACTGTCCTTTAGCATCCAGGATTCAGGGAACGGAAAGTACACAACACAGATACGTTGAATTATAGCGGTATGCAGGCAGCGTGGCGGATTTTAATATATCGGTGGTTCTTTGCTGCGGTTTTAGAAAAGTGTTCCCAAGAGTTAGAAGATCAGGTGGCTTCAAAACTCAGAAGCTGTACCCAAACATGGCCTTCAGCCCTTCGCAGAGGATGGAGAATCAGACATATGAAGCGACTCTTTTGCTTTCAGGGCTAATTGTTTAACCAGACAACAAAGAGATTACAGAATCGTTTGTGTGCGCACATGCGAATCACTCTGGCAGACAAACAAACACTCGACAGTCTCCAGTCTGTGGACCATGACCAATCAAACGGCTCTGGTGTGGTACTAATCCAGCACGAATGGTCTTGTTCAGCCACAGGCGAGCACGATGTAGTGATGCAAATAAAGTGGTTGATGTTACCAGTGGGGCTCTTTCACTTCCTCCTTCCTTTGCGCTGTTTCTCCTTCATACATTCACTCCCTGTTTCCTTTACTAAGGAGTACTTGAATTAACAGTTATGTGATGAATCGAGTGAAAGAACAGGAAATAAGGACTTGATTGTGTCCATGATTGGGTCATGAAAAGCAGGCGTTGTGTTTCAGAATGGTGGCTGATGGTTGGAGGGATTCGCACCGACGAATCATTCAAAATAAAACCAGTAGCCATTTAATTATGGTTATGTCATATATTTTAGGGTGAAAGTGAAATAATGGGTGTGGATTTTATTCAGCGTGATTTGATTGGATCATTAAAAGTAGGATTGATATTGATCAGTATCATATCAGTGCCAACATGTTTTTGGTTACATCAGCAGAAAAGTTGTGGAATAAGTTTTATGAAAAACATTGATTCGTGCTCAAGAAAACCTGTAACGTTTATTAAGACATTTCCTGTTGGTGCTTTATTTTAAATAGCCGAAAGCCTTTACTTTACTGCATACTTTGCAGGTTAAATTATGTTGCTAATCAGTTTAGATGGTATCTGGGGAAGGTACATTCTCATTCTAGTGGATTTTCTGGTGGATTTGGACACAAATCTGTGTAGTTCTCAAGACAAGTCCTCAGTCTTCTTAATCTGTTTTGTTAGAAGATCACGATTGTAAATTTGAAATATGTAGAGGTGCTTAACGTTTATTTAGCCAACTTTTAAAGGTGTTCTACCATATAAATGGCCTCAAAGCTAATAGACGAGATCTTACAAGCCACTGAACTCCAATGTTTATTTCATAGGGTCTTTAAGTAAATTTATACATCAATTTTGATTTTATGTTGTCTTTAAAGTCTAAGACTCACTCATTCAGTGCATCTGTTTCTGATGCACTCTATAAGGATTTTCCAGGCCCTCATGTGACCCCTAAAATCTGAGATCAGTGACTGGTTCCAAGAAATGTTGTTCTAGAACCAAACAAGTGAGAACAGACATTTTCTTTCACTTTTACCTTTGTAAAGTCTTGTATGCTGGTCAGAAGTGGCCATGATGTGTTTTCTGGGAACATGAAGTTCCCTGTGAATCACAGATTTGATGAAGGGAAGGTTTCACATTGGAGTGCATCAAACCAGTCCACAATAAACTCTTAGACTGGGAATATGAGAATTCACTCTGTACTGGTGGGACCTGATTCTATTGCATTATATTCCAGAGGAACCGAGTAATAGAGTCAAAATATCATTCACAGCCTTTTAAAGGTTCCCAGGTCTTTCCCGTATAAGCCTCAAAAATGTCTTAGATCATATTATGATTGCTTCCTCACCGCAATGAGATATAATCTACATATAATTGGTTCCTGGACTCAACATGATAAAAAAATAAAAATGTTCTGAACAGAATAGCATAGAAAAGGGTCAAGATGTGCAGATTCCTCTGATAATACCCACAATGCACCAGAGCGAAGCTTCGAGGCGGTATCTAATCATCGCCCAACCCCCTCATTTGTCATTTTCAGTGAAGTCAGGACAAAGAATCAGTAATGCTAGATATTTATCTAGCCGTGATCTATGTAAATGTCAGTCCCGCGATGGAACAGAGATGATGGATCCTCTCTCAAACAGCCCTGGGCTCAGAACTGAGTCTGATTTACAGCGAAATCCATCTCAGCTTGGATAAACACCAGCCGGAATGTTGTACCACGATTGGCTCATTCCTCTCATTAGATTTCAGTTCGTCTCACGGAGGTAATGAATCCTCAATCTCAGATATTCATGCTACCGAAACTGAAATGAAGTGGGATGGCTTACCGAGCAATTTCAGCAGCTCACAGGAAGTTTAAGATGTGATGGGGGTTTTTAAATTAAGCTACACATCACTAGAAAATCAAAAATGGGAACTTTTTTAATGGTGGCAATACATCCACACTGAGGGGGAAAAAAAAGTGGTGAAACAATTTTCACTCAAAAATTGCTATCAAGTTTTAGAAGTAATTACAAATAAACAGCAAGTAACACATATTTTACAGTGCAGGTCATGGGCGTCGCTAGGCCATTTTTAGGGGGGCTATAGCTGACTGCTCAAAATGACTACTCAGCCCCCCTAAAATTTTGCAATTAGCTCCATAAACTGTACACGAATTTGTGATCGCCTCAGTCCCATTTAAATTTCATATGAAAACGGCGGCAGACTTCGATCGGCTCCTCCCCTTCTTTCAGCGCTTTCTTTTTCAATCCGCAGACCGCAGCAGCAGCGCAGAGCGAGAAACAGAGGACACGGTGTGTGTTTAACGATAGATAGTTATAATATCTGCATCTGTGCAGTTCTGTTCTTTGTCATAAATACAGTTTACAAAATATCAATCGGTTTACCATCTACTATAGCCTAAGTTTTCGCTGCGTGCACCCCTCATCACCCCACACAGCTGTTTCCTCCAGTGAAAATGAAGCACATATGAACACATACTTTATAAAACGATCATGTTGCCATTTCATTTGAAAATTTAACTTTCAATGCAATACATTTTCCAGTGCATGTGGCAAAGAGGTTTGCATACTTGAGCTAAGGAAAGAGGGTTGTACTAGAAATGCAAACAGTAAAATGTTGTGTGTTTACAGTAAACAGGTGTGTGTGTGAGATCATGAAGACTTGTATTTGGATTATTCAGTTATATGTTATACCTATGCAATATAGTGGAATACTGCACTTTTTAGTATATAAATTTAGCATACCACCCCTATTAGTCAAACATTTTTTGTTATATATATATATCATACCCTCGTTGGGGGCTGAGCCCCCCTAAAATGAAAATCCTTGAATCGCCTAGAAACAGATGTGTTTGTAATATTGCATATTGTTATTTTTGTATTATTTTTATGCTATTATAGTATTTATTAATATTCGGAATTAAATTTTGTATGTTCAGTTTTAATTTTATTTTTTTAAATATTTATTTATAGATTTCAATTTTATTTCAGTTTTAGTATTACAACTTAAACTTGCAATTAGTTAACTTTATTTCAGTTGCCAGGGCAACTTATATTTATTTATTTGTTTGTTTGTTTGTTTTTATCTAATATTTATATTTTATTTCAGCTTCATTTCAGTTATCAAAAAAACTTTTTGTTATTGTTTTAAATAACAATAACGATACTGATTGCACATTGACTAAATTAAAATGATGGTAACACTTTATTTTAAGGTGTCCTTACACGTTACATGTACTTACTATTAAAATAACAATTAATTATGCATAATTACATGCAAGTAACCCTAAGCCAAACCAAATCCTTACCCTAACCATATAGTATGTACATGTAGTTAATTAATATTACTCAGTACTTATATGTATAATTACACTGTAACAAGGACACCTTAAAATAAAGTGTAACCAAAAGGACATGTGTGTGTGTGTTTGTGCATGTTTATGTGGTTTATGAGGACACAAATTTGTATAATAACATGGGTATGACATAGGTATTACAATGAGAAGATGATTTATGAGGACATTTTCAGTGTCCCCGTAATTCAAAAGGCTTATAAATAATTCAGAATGAGTTTTTTTTTTAAATCTATAAATGCAGAACGTTTCCTGTGAGGGGTAGGTTTAGGGGTAGGGTTGGTGTAGGGCAATAGAAATTACGGTTTGTACAGTATAAAAACCATTACGCCTATGGAGAGTCCCCATAAACCATAAAAACAAACCTGTGTGTGTGTGTGGGTGTGTGCATATACACATATTTAAAAATGACATGTGAGCACTAATACTAGTCTAGCTAGCCCATTTGCCTGCCTTTAAATAAAAATCAATTTGTACAGTTGGGTGAACATTGTCATCTAATTAATATTTATGGTTTATCAATTCGTTCCTACACCCTGGGTACATCAATCTAAAAAAAAATAAAAATGGTGTGAGCTGTTAGTATAGTTTACCTTTGTGAATTTTCACCGTATGCAGGAATATGAAGTATTAGCTGCTGTTTTCGAAGGACTGGAGTATTGTGTTTGTAGCTGTGGGAGTTGTGTTATGCTGTTTTGTAGATGTTTGGTCTTAGCTGAAATTCGCAGAGTTCGCAGAATTCACCAAGCTGCTGTCACGTAAGACACACATCCTGCTTCCACCATAACAAGCCAGAACATCTGGCACCCCAGAAAGCACTAACAAATAAAACCTTTCACAGAGCTAAAATCTTGTTATCTAAACAGTCTTGGTTGCATTGCTTTGGCTGAATGCCACGGGTCTGCTTGGATTCTTATGTTTGCAAAAAAAAAAAAACTGTGGTCCATTGCCTAAACACATTTTTGAAGTGCATTTAAATATTTAATTAACATGACAAATCACTGACAATGTATGGACTATAATATACACTAATGACTGGTTTATTTTGAGCTTGTTTTATATGGTTAGAATTATAAAGGTGTATTGTAAATAAATGTATATTTAATAATAAAAAACAAAGACATTTTTGGTAGCTTTATGTGCTACATTTCTGTGTCTTCTTTTTTTCTAACTACTTATTAGTAGAAATGATCTTGACATGCATTGAGAATCTGTCTTGGTTTGGACAAGAACAAACAATGAGTTTTGTTCTTGTGGGTTTGCATTCATTTGGCAAGTGTCAAGTGTTAGAATTGTCTGCTTTGGAACTGTATAAAGACAAACATGGGAAACACTGGCTTTATTTATTTTTTTGTTATGTTTTTGTTCCTAACTTTTATCCCGCTTTTTTGTAGCTCAACAGCCACTGGGTAACTGTTTGCAGTGTGAGTATTCTTTAAAATATCTTCCTTTGTGCTCCATGGATGAAAGTAAGTCATGCAGATTTGGAACGACTCAAGGTAAATAAAGATGCCATTTTCATTTTTGGATGAACGAATCATTTTCCTGTCCTTGGTAAACATGAAATGCTATGATAAGTGACAAAACTCACAGCCAATCAGAACATATTTGATGTGTAAAATACAGCTATATGGAGCAGGCTTTTGGACCAATGAAATTTCACTGTGGGTGGGGCTATATGAATGAAATGGCAGAAATAGAGACCAATCAACTGCTAGAATGTTGGCAGTCATGTGGCTGGGACAAAAAATCTGACACAATGTACAATAAATTAACGAACACCACTATATCGTCATACGTGGTTATGATACTGTTTTTTCTGCCTCAAAATTTCATAAAACAATCAATTTTGAGCTGCATAAAATCAAATTAAGAGTTAAAGAGAGATACACCTTGTCCTAACTAGTCACATCAAGTATTATTTTTTTGTTGTTGTTTTTGTCACTGAAATTGAAATGTTGTACAATGTGAAATAATCACAGCGAATCAAAACAAAAATCCTGCTATACGCAATAAGATTCAATGAGATTTCACAGTGGGTGGGGCTTCATGAATGATATGGCAAAAATAGAATTAGCGAATGACACTATTGCATCATACCTGGTTATGATTCTGTGTTTTTCTGGCTCAACATTTCATAAAACAATCCAATTTTTGAGCTGCAGAAAGAGAGATACATGTCATCTTAACTAGTCATGAAGCATCATTTTGAGTATTTTTTCGTTGTGGTCACTGGAAGTGAAATCTTGCACAATGTGAAAAAATTACAGCCAATCAGAACACAAAATACAGCTT